GATAGTTGTGATACAGGCAGAAAAGATGTTGGCATTGAGTTATGCACCTGTAGGACAGCGGAAGACTTTAGCTCAGTTTACACTTCTGCGCGCCTGTGTTGCTCTGCAGTCTCCCTGACAAAATGCTACTTGGCGCTTCTCTTCAAGTTGATCCGTTTTCCTACAGTTGATTGGGAAAAATTGTGGCTGCAGGCTGCAACGACGTGACGTGCTGTTACTTTTATAGCAAGACGCACATCGGGTTACAACACAGGCTTTTGGGTTTTTGTGCAGCATAGATACAACACAGAAGCATAAATTCCCCTTTAGTCTCCAAACACTACAGGAATCTGGCTTCTGTCCTCAACTGCCATGCTCTTGGCTTTGGTGGGGGGGCTCATGGTCACAGCGGGGATTATTTGCAGCCTGGAAGCAGATGAGTTGTCCTTGTCAAAGGAATTTAAAGGGGATAGTGGTGAGACTGCACTCTGACAGGTCATAAGAAGTGCGAGCCTAGCAGACTGCCAGGTGCCTGCTGCTAGGCTCGCAGTGAGCGTCATAATACAGAAAAATTAATCAGTCTAAATTCGGAGGAAGTAGGAGAAGAATGGAAAAAAAACTGGTGTCTTCTTACATAAAAATGTCCTCCGAGGATTGACAGTGTCATTAAAAACACGCTCGTGCTCTTCCGCGTACTCCAGCCCCATCCCCAAACAAAACAACTTCTGCATCGAAAAACATCAACACTGGCCTCGTTTCTCAAACTTTGCGAAGACTATGGAGAAGCAGGGCTGCTGTCGAAAGCGTTTTAGACAGGCATGGAGGGCTGGTGGTGGGGGACCCTTGGGAGATGCTTGTTTTGTTGGGCCTTCTTTGGCTTTTAGCAGGTGAGAGACGATGCCGTGATTCCCTATAAGTTATTCATTTGATGTTTCCTCCCTTCTCAGCTCTTTGTAGGCTGGAATACATTAGCAGCCTGCCAGAGTGAAGAGGATGCTAATGTGGAAGCGAGGGAGAGCGAGAGGAGAGGAAGAAAGGATAGGGGGGCAGTGGAGAGAAGGAGGCAGAGTCATTAGAGGAGGTGGAGAACAGAGAGAGAGAGGACAAGGCTTTTATGATGTGTGGGAAGGGGAAGTGACCTTCCCTCTCACTTTCATCTTGGCTTTTTTTCCTCCTCGTGCATTGCTCCCTCACACACAAAAACACACAAACACACTTACAGTTTCTCGCACACACTCCAGTATGCAGGTTCACATGCACATTTACAGCAGTGCTTACAGTCTGCTCTCGAACAGGCACACACACATTCACACCTCTCTATCTGTTTTTCAACCACTCTTTGTTCTGTTTTCGCCCCTGTGCAGGTCCCCTTGCAACCTGGCCAGTCTTTCAAGTTCACAGTCCTGGAAACTCTGGACCGAATCAAGGAGGAATTCCAATTCCTCCAGGCTCAGTATCACAGGTACCCAAAACACATAACACAAATCCATTTGTGCATGCGTGCAGATACACAAATTTATTTAAAAACGTAAATATTGTTGGGAAACGAAACAAGCTTCCTGAAGAAGCTTGAAACCAGTAACGCTCTTCTAGTCTTAATATAGAAACAACAAATTGTAATTCAGTTCAAATAATAAAGATAGAATGGCTGCACATGTGTCCTTTAATCTTTATAAGGAAATATGGGATGCCTGTCAGAGCAAATTCTTTCTCTTTAGCTGTCTCTACATAAGTTTCAGTCTAATAGGCATCCGTTTACACTAATTTGGGGAGAAATATGCTATCATTGTGTCTGTCCGTATCAACCTTAACATGATATTAATAAGAAATAAATATATCACATCTAATTTTAAAATACTGCATTTTTTTTTCAACAGTATAACTGAGTTTCCAACATAAAAAAAGAAAGTTAGGTAATTCAGGTCTTTTATTTTTAACTGCTGGAGGTGACTGATCAGCTTATCACGGCTGGTTGACCTGAAATGACCTCAGCTAATAGAGATAAAGAGTTAGGTTAAAAAATAAAAGCCTCTTTCTCACACCTCAGCGGGCAGGTTGAACAGCCTGCTGTGATACATTAACAGTAATTCACTGCAGGGTGTGGTGGATCTGTGCAAAACACACACATATCTACAAAATCAAAGAGCATCACTAACGACTTTCATAATAATGACCCACTGGAACTTTCTTCGTTTAATCACTGTTGATTCGTTTTAAAACCACGCACTCTAAATATCTGTCACGTCTAGAAACAATAACAATAATAAAAATGCAGAGCAAATGTGCAGTTTAAGCAGAATTGAAAAAACGTTGCACTTGGTAGCACAGAATCGGACACCTTCCCACACACGTGGTGTTTCTGTGGTGAACAAGAATGAGAGACGCCCTTCTGGCTGTTGCTGCTATAAAGGTGAACATTTTCTGTGCTACTTTAAGCAGACCTTAGACCTTAAATAGTATTTTTTTGGCATGTATGGCATAGCAACCTAAACTATGTCCTGAGTCCTGTGTAAATTATTTCACTGGATTCAAGTAAACCATTTCATTCATGTGTTTGTGCTTTTTCTCACCCTCGTGCAGCCTGAAGCTGGAGTGTGAGAAGCTGGCCAGTGAGAAGACTGAGATGCAGAGGCACTACATCATGGTGAGTCCAGTCACATCTTTACCAAAGCTATATGTTAATTGACTAGTCTGACCAGGGCTCTCGGCTCTCTGAGAGGAGTCTGCTGGGTTAAAATCAAATAGATGGTATATATCGAGGGAAGTATCTTAAATATCAATAACAGCAGAACACGCTTGCACATTTGCACAATAGAGTCTTTGCTATCGAGAGTTTTTCTCACACGCCGTTTATCTCGCTCTCTCATACCTGCCTCCGTATCTCTCGCCATATTTTATTCCTCATTCAGACCTTTTATATTGTCTTTTTCTTTGGCTCTTCTTTTTCTCTGTTTTCTCCCGTGTGCTAACAGCCTGAGCTCCTCGTGTCGGTGTGTCTGCGCGACTAAAGGCTCACATGTATCGTAAGCCTTCGTCTGTGGTACAAAACCCACACAGAGCCGACCAGAATACGATATGCACCATCTGCTAAGCTGCTCGCATTTCATAAACCTGGGAGAGCAGGCAGGATCAGGGCCGTAAGCTAGATAGACACACAGATGGAGAGACATAAAGAGGGAGAGAGAGAGAAGAGAAGCAGACTGGCAGATAGACTGACAAAAGAGAGAGAAAGGTAGAGAGAGAGAGAGCACTAAACAGGCAAACTGGCAGACAGACAGATGGATGTAGATGGCCACAGACAGGCAGGAGATCAGCAGATAAACACACACCCACACCCACACAGACACCCACCCACACACAGGATGTACAGGGTACTCGTTCATTCATCCATACTTGCACACGACCTTGTTCCTCTGTCCTTACGAGGACCTGATACAAGTGCATGCCAAATGCTGTAACACATGCATTTCTCCAAATAAAACAAAATTCCTTTTTTTTAAAAATAAAAGAGCATAAGAACACTCTCTAGCAGTTGCTATTCTTATTACGTACAGTAGTTTGGTAAGGCCTGACAGCCTCTGGTCGCTAAGGAAATAGTGTAATTCCTGACCAGCTGGAGAGGTGTTGTTAGGGGTTGCTAGCTGTCGCTAGGTTAAATTAGTCGCAGAGACTGCGCTACATATAAATGGTAAATGGCCTGTATTTGTATAGCGCTTTTACTAGTCCCCCCTAGGGACCCCAAAGCGCTTTACACACCCAGTCATCCACACATTCACACACTGGTGGAGGCAAGCTACAGTTGTAGCCACAGCTGCCCTGGGGCAGACTAAAAAGACTAAAAACCTCCATGCAAGTGCTTTGGTCGTAAGCACAACGAAACAACCTGTAGAGTGCATGGAAGATGAAAACTAGTCTGCAAACTGGAAATGAAAGTAAAAGGAGAAGAAAATGCGCCATTGTTCAGCTCACTGCACTTGGGTGGCCTACTGCTGTGACCCAGTCCAGTGTCTCCTAATAGTTCTTTCAGCTAATATAGCATGTTTGGACAATTGTGTGATTGAAGTCACTGAAACTGTTTTAACGCATGCACTGCAACCCTGAACATTTCTGGGCGATACGTGAGAGCACAACTGTCTCGTGCTGTTGGATCAGACGTAAGCCAGTCAACCTGTGAGCCAGAGTCTGCGTGATGTCATTTTGTACCGATGTGCAAATAACACAGATAGTAGTACAGTGTTCCCCTCCTGCACGCACCATCCAGGCTGCTGCCAAATGACACAGAATACTTCCAGTTGTGCCAGCGCGTCTGAAGCAGGCTATATCCTGCTGTGAGAAAGAACAACTGTGGAAAATAGCCAACCTCATTATCTCAAAATTGGCTTGAGTTCATGTGTGAAAATGTCTTGAGATAACACGCTGATTGTACAATTCTTTTGTCTAACAAATATTTTAGTTTCACGAGAAGAAGACTGAGTGTTTCACCAGCAGATTTGCATGTTGCTCAGGTCGCTCACTCAGGTTATAATGACATCTTTAAAACGACTGGAACAGAAATCCGCTGTGCTGCTTGCAATCTAAGTGGCTGTTCAGCAAAAGGTATGCAAGCTCATATTAAAGTTATTTATTATTCACTTATTCTGATTTACAATTGAGTTATAACAGAATTTCTGATTTCACTTAATTGTATTTCCATGATTTGTCACTTACTCCCAATACGGGAGCCTTTTCATTACATTTTAAAGTTATTGCATTTTCTGGCAGCTGCATAAACACTATAAAACTTTAAATTAATGGCATACTGCATATCAATAAATTCAAGCAACTGGATGACGAAATGCTGATTGAGGATTCCAAACAACACAAAAGCATGTGCATTAAAGATGAAAGGTTGTCAAACTGACCTCATTATAAAGTTTTTAATGTGCTTCTCATTATAAAAATCAAGAAGATGCATGCGCACATAAATATGGTGCGGTACAATGTGGACAACTTGAGCAATTCAGGCACTCCCCATTTTAGCTTCACACATTTACTGTGGGGAAGAAAAAGCTTAGATAAACATCCGTCTTCCCCAGTGTAAATCTTCACCACCCTTTCTTATACAATAGGGGCAGCGGCATGCCAGAACAGATACATTTCCATGTCTTTCAATAGTCAGCGGGATTTAATCGAACTTGTGCATATCATATGTCACAACCTCTGTGACCGCTGTGGATGGAGGAGGAATGACACACAGTATCCGCTGCTGTGTGTTTAAACACGGGGCTTTAACGGCTGCCTTTTGCAGGAGGTCAGGGAGCTGCAGATGCTGATGACATACCCATATAGGTTAGCATAGCAGAGCGTTAGCACCGCAGGCTATAATATTTGAACAAGGGCTCACTGTATTGTAGTGGATGGCTAACGCAGTGTAATGCTACTTCATAGGCATGGCTCAGAAATGAGAGGGAGGGAAAGAGGGAGAGAAAATGAGAGAGAGAAGAAAGAGAGGCTCAAAGGGAAAGATAGCTTGAGAGAAAAAAAGGCTCAGAGAGTGTCAGACAGAAAAAAAAAACAGGGAGCTGCTGAGGGAGGAAGGGATACAAAAGGAGGCAGAGATAAAGAGAATAAAAGAGGAGAGGGAGAGAGACGAGAGAGAAAGAGTGTGAAAAAAAGCTGAAAAGGAATGAGAGAGAAGAAATGAGAAAGAGGGATACCAGGGGACGGAAAGATGGAGACTGAGGAAAAAGATGCTGCGAAGGGATGAAATGGACAGAAAGGGAGAGAGAGAAAAAGAGTATGCAACACAGAGTGCGAGAGAAAGAGATAGCGATGTGTTTGTGTGTGTGGTTGGGGGGGGCGTGAAATGAGAGGGCGAGAGAGATGGAGAAGGAGAGAGAGGGTGCACGCACAGACACGTAAATAATGTGAAGCAACAACGGACTCGCTGCGCCCACAGAGGAGATAACCCAGAAGGCTATATTTAGCTCGTTAGGCCTGTCATCCACACTGAGGCCTGTTTCCACAGGCTGGGGCTCTGCGCACCATGCTGCACTGCTCCTGCCTTTACTATTCATCAGTTTTAAGCTCTTTAAATACCAGGGTGAGGGGTTGGAAAGTAGGAAGGTAGTTACACATAACTGGAGCGCGTGTAAGTTCTTGTAAACTGTAAAAGCTTTACATTCGAGATGACATGACAGTTAAGAAACATATACTTTGTGCCTAAAGGTGGGAGGTCTGGGTGTCTCTTTGGCATCAGAAAGCCTGCTGCTTGTTTCATACAGGCAGTCACTTTAGAGCGGTTAAAAAAAGTATACTGGTTAAAAAAAGACATGCAAGTTGAAATACGCTTCAGTCTTTATTTTAAATTGCTTTCCTAGTAAACCATTTTAGTAAACCTCAAAAATATTCTGTGAGTACTTTTTGGTTCCCGTTGATTTGGTTTTAGAATCAGTCAGTCGGTAATTTGTTTCCTGAACACGAACGAACCACATCAGAAATGTTTCCGTTTACTGCATTCTCAAGCCAATAGTCTCACACCACAAAAAAGATGAAAATAATAGTGTTTGCACAACACGCCATCATGCCACGATTGAGTCAACCCAGGTCGGGCTGTTGCTGCGTGCTCGCATGTCCGTGGGAGCGCCATCTCTGATCTGATTGTTCTTGGCTCTACCTGCACTTGTCCCATTTTCGGAGCAGCATCTTGCTCTGCGGTCGTTTCAGCAGGACAGCGCCCACCCACAAAGTACCAAAATAGCTTGCGTAGCCAGACTTCAGTCCTGATATGTATCTTATTGAGCATGCCTGGGACATGCTGGGCTGACATGTTCATCAGAGGCAGCAACGATGCAACGTACAGCTACAGGCGGCACTCACTGAGGAATGCAGAGCAATTCCTCAACAGCAGATGCGGATACTTGAGAAGTTCATGCGCAGATGGGTGACTGCTTGTATCACATCCAGGGGGGCATACCTCGTATCAAACATCTTGCACATATAAATTTTTCTAGTGGTGGTCTATAAAATGTATTTACATTACTTTTTTTGCCTGCTATAATGTCTTTACCCAGCATGTGGTGGCGTTGCTTGATCAGCCATTCCTCTGGTAACTTCTCAGCACTGCAGCATTTGTGCATTTATCACAAATGAACCGGTGTTATGATTTTTGCTTTGGGACATGTTGAAAACAGGTGTTAACTGAGCTGCCAGTACAACCACGTTACAGCTGGTGTACGAAATTACATTTGAAGGACAGTTTTTTTATGTGGAAAACCACAAATAACTCCTTTATTCTTGTAAACACGAATTCTTTTATTCAGTTTAATCACAGTGTGGTTGAGAATTGCAGGTTTTACAAATCACATTTCTTTGTATTAATCATCTTTAGGCTAATGATAATTGCTAAATGGAGGTAATAGTGCTGAGAAATACTAATTGACTAATAGCAATAGACTGGAAATGCCCCGTGTTCATTAAACTATTTGAGAGAATGAGGCACAAACAAATCAACACGAAAAATAAACTGAAGTTAGAAAGTAGCTGTAGTGTGTGTGTGTACACAGAAGGTGCAAGTCTCACTGTGCTGCTAGCTCTCTCCTTATGGCATTAAACTTTTGGGGAGATGCTTTTTCCACACATTTACCACTTTAATTCTATAGTTGG